TCAGATGAGTCAACAATTTGCTTGAAGTCTTCAAGCACAATGCAAAATCAACAGATTGCCCACACCTAGTGGGCAATATATCAAAATATTATTTCGCTTTATTGTATTTTTGTTATTAAAAATTAGAACAAAGATGCAAATTACAAACAATAAGACAAATGTGAACCTTGTGTGTTCTAGACAGTTCAAGTGCAATATTAATTAAAAAAAACAGCCATACAACTGCAATAGAATATGCACTCTTGCACAATATTAAGGATCTATCCGGTAAGTAAGGCAGATTGTGGAGACCTTTTTTTATTCACAATCCATACATTTTAATCATTTATGATATGTCTATCTAGGGAACATACTGTAGGACCCGGGAACATATGTGACCCTGGACCACAAAACCAGTCTTAAGTCGCTTGGGTATATTTTTAGCAATAGTCAAAAAAACATTGTATGGGTCAAAATGATCGTTTTTTCTTTTATGCCAAAAATCATTAGGATATTAAGTGAAGATCATGTTCAATGAAGATATTTTATAAATTTCCTACCATAAATATATCAAAACTTAATTTTTGATTAGTAATATGCATTGCTAAGAACTTCATTTGGACAACTTTAAAGGCAATTTTCTCAGTATTTAGATTTTTTGCACCCTACAAATAGTTGTATCTCTGCCAAATATGGTCCTATCCTAACAAGCCATACATCAATGGAAAGCTTATTAATAGCCCTTATGACTGGTTTTGTGGTCCAGGGTCACATATGACCCTTTTTCATGTGTTCCTCTATATGTTATATAAATCTGGGAAACATAGGACCCTGGGAACATAGGTATGCTCCCAGGGAAATCTGAAGCTGTAGATTTTCTCATGCAGAGTGCTATCAGTCCAAATGAGTAACCGTTAACAGAGTTTGTGCGTATGAAGAGCACCATAAATTAGTCACTTATGAGTTTTAATTTCAATGCTTACAGTATCTTGTGTTTTCTGAATGGTAAGAGTACAGCTGAAAGACTCTTGCATGTGTTTGTATAGGAGTGTATGTACTGCGAGAATGACGTCTCTGCCCTGCTAGAAGACCTACCCGATATGGAGGTTGGCATTTTGGAAGGAGAAGTGGTACAAGATGCCAACAAATGGGTCTCATTCACAGGAGGAGAAGGAGCAACCTAGTGTATAATCTGAAAATGTACCACTAATCTCTGCCAGCAGAGGGCAACAGGACCTTTCAGGTTCCCACCTGTATACACAAAGTAAAATTGTCTTGGGGTATCTACTCTGATATCTTTTGTTATTTTAAAAGATTATGAATGTGTTTATTTATTTATTTTTTTGTGTGTGTGTGTGTGTGTGTGTGTGTGTGTGTGTGTATAGACAAAAGTATGCCAGATAAGCTGATTGATTAAACCAAAGATGCTGTTCAAATGTGCAACTCCGATTGGATGGAACCGCTGTCACATGGACCTAACCTGCTCAGTGGTTCTGTCTCTTTATAGTTTTTCCAGTTCACTTGTACTGTTTAAATATGTTGCTACAGCAAAGTTTTCTTCAGTGGATTGATGCTCTGTGCAGAAATCGCCAGACTGTTTGTACCAGCTAACAGTGGAATGAGGTGTAGTGCATCATAAATAAATGAAAAAAGTAAGTTTTTCATTATAAAAACAAGTCCTATTGTGAACACAACAGTATATGGGCCAATACAAATGCATTTTGCTCAAAATCAAAACCAGGAAATGAAACACCGATATACTGTATATTTGGGGACCATTCCAGCCAAATAAGCTGCTGCCAAAGCTGCTGTCTTACAGGACCCTTGTGTCATTTTGTCAGAGGACAGCAAGTATTTGTTCAGGGATGTGCAGTCATGTAAACTAATATTTTTGTAGATGTCTTTTGTAAGTCATAAAAAATTGAACATGGACTTAACATCTTTATTTCTTTCTCTTACCCTTTCTTTCATGTCTTCTTTTGGCTATACAAATGTGACCCTGGACACACAAAACCAGCCACAAGGCTAAATTTTTTAAAATTGAGATTTATACATCAATGGAAAGCTTATTTATTCAGCTTTCAGGTGATGTTAGGATAGGAAAATATTTGGCCGAGATAGTCCAGAAATCTGGAATCTGAGTGTGCAAAAAAATCTAAATATTGAGAAAATCACCTTGTCCAAATGAAGTCCTTAGCAATGCATATTACAAATCAAAAATAAAGTTTTGATATTTACAGTAGGACATTTACAAAATGTCTTCATGGAACATGATCTTTACTTAATATCCTAATGATTTTTGGCATAAAAGAAACATTTATAATTTTGACCCATACAATGTATGGTTGGCTATTGCTACAAATATACCCCAGCGACTTAAGACTGCTTTTGTGCTGCAGGGTCACAAATGTTCTAGTCACAGTGCAGTCATTCAACAAAGATGTCAGGGCACTAGTTCTCTGAGTGGAGGAAACTAGCTTTATGTGTAGCATTCTGTAAAAGGTCTGAAGCTGGTCCTATACCTGAAATACTCTTTTTCTATTATCTTAAATTCAGTGTACTACCGAGTGTACTTAACGGCCAGTAGTGTTGAAGCAGAAAAATTGAAACTGGCTCTACATCTGTTTCTGATTTGTGAAGTATTGAAGCAAAAGACTGAATAACATGCTGAAAAAGAGCCATAGGGTTATGGCGACTGCGTAACATTTAGTTCATTCAAATGTGTTTGATAGTCTTTATAAGCATGTAATTTGGTTTGTGGCTATTTTTCATCTTTCTTTTTTCATAAATGTAGTGAGATAAACGTCACTTTATTCCTATCTTTTAATAAAAAGAAAATGATATCTACGCTTGTCTGTCAGCAGTTTTAATTGTCTGATAAACATCATGATACAAGCCAGTAACATCCACTGATCTTGTTATGTTGTTGTAGCATCAACTAAAATTTCATGACCTAAAATAAAAATCAGTAACTTGTTTTAAACATGCAAGATTAAGGGGAAATGTTGGCATACAATAGTTGATTAAATAAATGAACTGACAATTTTTTTATGATTTGAATATGGTCAATGACAAGATGAGCGTATGCCTTTTAAAATCATTTGAAATGACAAGAATCCCTTTATTCGATAAAACCTTTTTAGTTTGTGTAGCGTCTCGACCAATCTGACACACTAATTTTACTTAGAATTGACAAGACAGTTGACCCTGAGTGGTCAGCTAAATATCTACAGTGGATCTAAAATATGAATAGTTAATTATAACTAGTTATGGTTAATTATTCATATTTCCCCATGAGCTGATTCGCTACATTTGAATACATTTTGAGTACATTGAAATGATAAATATTATTTTATGTTTTGGTATTTCAAACCTCCAAAACGTCAGGTGGCACAGCCATCTGCACATATTATGAACAATGTAAGAAAACTATTCAAAATGGAGTTTAGTTGTAGTAAATGCTAAATAAAATACTGTTGCATGATTTTGTTTAAAACTTTTTTTCTATAAACACATTTCACAAATACCATAGATTTAATAAAGCTGTTGATAAAACTTTTGTCCAGCAATTGGTATTCTCAAATGTCATGGTGGCACAGCCACTTAGAAATAATAACAGGAATATAAATATATATTTACAATATCTGGTTGTATCACCTGACATTTTTTGGGTTGTGAAGTTAAAAACAATTTTTTAAAAATCAATCTAAACACTTTGTAATGTTATTTAACAAATGAAACTTATTAAAAAAAATTTCCAGCTCAAATATGCATTTCATTCAAAGATTTTCAAACAAATCTTTTGAGTAGATGTATTTGTCATTGACCCATATGTATTTGAGAATGATTATGGCAGATTGTTAATGTATGATTCAAGACTGCTTTATAATTTTCATAAAAGTAGGATTAATCTATTTAAAGCATGCTGACACTTTGTTTAGGTCTCAGGTATATGCATTTCAGTTTTCAGAATTACAGTAATGGTTATTAGTAACACTTTGGGGCTTAAAAAGGGCACAGAGAGACGCTTTTTAAATGTATTATTATTTATTTATTCTTAAGTTTTTTTGTGTGTTTCTTTTCCAAAAATAAACCAGTTGGTTAAGGCGTAAAACATCTTGGTCACAAGGGATCTGTTTTCATCACCATCTGTTCTCTCAACGAGCACACAGTTAGCTGACCCCTCACCCTACTCAATTTATTCTTTATCTATTCAAACCTCTTAATGCATCTGATGAATGCATATGTTGAATAAGCTTTATTTGTGTTTTAAATCAATTAAAGTGGAAAAAATTAGAATAAATTCAGTTAATAACTGAATATTAAACACAGCAGACTAAAACCTCTCCTCAGTATTATGCATTTTCTAAACGGCAAGGATTATTAAAGTGTTCTGGTCTTCCATTAGTTTCTTTGATTTAGAATCTCTTGATAACATTTGATCTTACCTGACTGCATCAAATATTTGATGACACTTTAAGTCACTGGTATACATATGAAAAAAAAAAAAAGTTAATATACACACACTATTCATATATACTATGAACCACATAGCTGTAATGATTTAATATGTAACCACAAACCACAACGTATATATATGCTTTCCTTCCTTCAGCATCCTCGGCTTTGATATTTTATTTCACAAACTGCTGAATATTACCATAAATGATTCTGTTTCTTCAGACAATCTTTAGACATACAAACTTTTCATTACAATTTTAGATTTTCAAATGTACGTTAATTACTGTGTCGTGTGTGTCCACACCTATCCCACTGACAAATAGACATGAAAGCTTTTAATGTCCAAATTAAATAAACTTACAGATTAACAAACAAACAAACAAAAAAAACATTATACATATTGAACTGGGCACTGCAATACTGCACTACTATGAATTATAAACCATGAACTGACACTAAATTATGTTACACTTGCATTATATATATATATATATATAGTCCCTAAAGTATATAAACAATAAAAACATACTTTTTAATGACTACTAAACAGGGCCATGGACTTTATCTATGTGACAGTCTCTCAGTGAGATATTTTTAACTCTAAAGAAACAAAACAAATCTTTCAGCCCACTAAAACAAAACAATTTCTCAATCTCTAGTATACACCATTACAGTTTACTTTTTAAGTAGTTCAATCTGAAATTCATTTCGAAATAAGCTTTTATGCTTCGAGGCATCATGTTTCAGAAGAAAAAATATCCAGGGGTATGTTCAAGTCACTGTGAAAAAAAGTTCCATACTTTTCTGTAAGATGATGTCTTATCCCACTATATCAGCCTGTGCTTATAAAATCCTAAAGCTCCAGCCATTTTCTCAAGAAAATCAGATGAGAAAAGGATTCCATCATGCCCCAATACAGGATTAAGTGAATTATGAATAAAGATGCATGGTCTTTGAAGAAACTTCTACCATGGCCGCCACATAAACTTAGAGTGTGTGATTATGGAGGAGTTCAGGCTGTCCTCAGCTGATGCAGGACTTGCTTCGGTCTCTGTCTCCTCTAGGTCAGAGCAGAGGTCCTCACTAGAAGGATTGGATGGGGATGGGGACAGTGCTGAGAATAGGTCGGACACACTGCGGCCTCCTGGACTTAGCACCTCTCCAGCTGGCCATGATCGACCGGAGGAGGAAGGCTCTGATATGAGCTCTAGGATCATCTCCTGAAGGTGATCCTCATTTAATGGCATGCACTCTAGCAGGTGATTAAGCAGCTCTGCAGCCACTGTGGCGTCGATGCCCGGGCATGTGGACACAAAGGTATGTACCTCATGCATGCACTGGATATAACCTGCTGCGAATCTCTCACTGGCCTCTTGATTCACAGCTTCAGCTTCTGGAAGTCCAGACACACAAGAGCTTCAAATAATTTTCATGGAAACTAATTGCCTAAATGTGCAGTGCAACTGAGGTCATCTTACCCTTAGAACGATTCTGCAGGATGTTCTCAACTCGTTTTACTGTTAGTTCAAGCACCTCTGCATTCTCCATTTTTGTCTGCAACTGATAAAAGCAGATAAACATGTCTAAACATCTTATGCAAAGTGAGGTCCGTCTATTTAGGCTATCTTTCTATCAACTGACTAAGAGTCGATGGTGCAGGCAGTAAAGAGGAGATCAACTTACATCGTTATCTGAAAGTAGTGTCCTGAGATCCTGCAGGCTTTCATTAATGCGCGCTCGCCTCTTTTTCTCCACTATTGGTTTTCGAGTCTATTGAAGCAGAAAATTATATATAAATATGGTGTTTAAGCATACCACAAACTTCCTTTTCCTTTTTGGCATTCATAGACAACGCAAATGGTTTTACCTTTCTTTCACCCTTAGCGACATAAAATGCTTCCTCCTCCACATCGAAACCATTTCTGAGTCTAGCCGCGGGGGACATTCCGGACTAGGAGGCTTGGTCAGTGATCCGCCGTCCAGAACCGTTCGGTCCGTAAATAAAGCAGAGTAAATATACAATTGTGAACAAACCAAACAGGACTGGCAGCTCATCGACGAGAGGCTAGAGCGAGGGCTTTATAGTAGCTCATTTGCAAATGAATGGAACATTCGCGTGCGGTAGTCTGCGCCCGCTCCAGCCAATCACCGCGCGCGCTTTTGTCTCCGTCTCAGAGAGCGCACACAAGCGAAGCTGCTCAATTGAATTATTTTTGTTTATATCTAGGTATGTAGGTATATTTACATTCCGCTTCCACATTGCACTTTCACTTTTCCTGTGAGTCTTGTATATGTGCGTATATATATATATATATATATATACACACACACACACACATATATATATTTTGCAATAAATGTAGAATGTTGTTTCTATATACACAAAATAGTTTCACATCAATAGTTTATTTTACCAGATATATATATATATATATATATATATATATATTTTTTTTTTTTGTCTTTTGGAGTGTTTTT